GCAGCGCACGTGCCCAAGTAAGGCGTCCCAATCGTGATTTCTTGGCACACGACAAGTCCACCCGGCCGCCCAAGCCAAGGGCCTCGCAGTCGGGGATGGTTGGTCGACAGATGCAACAACCAAACGAAGTGTAGCCCGGCAAGCACTTGGGGTACACAACCCACCCCCAGTTTTCGCACTTGCCCTGTCCATGGTCCTTTTGGCAGCGTTGGTACATGCCGCTGTCGTTTAGCCAGTCGCCAAACTTCCACGGGTACCCAAACCCCCGGCCGTATTCAGTGTTGCGACAAAACAGTCCTTGGTCGGCAAACCCAGCGGGGCAGTTCGAGTGGCAGTCGAGGCCTTTACGGGTCATGCCCACTGGACACTTGTCGTAGCACAGCAGACCCAGGCGCTCTTGTCCGGCGGCGCACGATACCGGCACTTGGCCAACACCGCGTGTATGCGTTGTCTTCCAGCAAAACGATGCGTCCGTGGTTTGGAGCTGGCGGTCGTCGGTTTGGTTCACGGTCGCACTGGCTATGGCGGCAAACACAGCGAGGAAAGCAAAAAGGTTGGTCATCACGTCGAGGCGAGGCAAATTGCAGAGTGACGTCTTCACTTGGACCACGCGGGCTTCCAGTTTCGACGCGTGAATCACGAGTAAACGTCACAATGATATTCCGGCACTTTTCGTACCTGAAAGGGGTGTCCCAGACTTGAGGCCTTGGTCGAGGAGTCTTGCGGACGCAAACAGGCTCGGAGCAGGCTCTAACGAGGTGGCAAAATATTTTGATTGCGTGCCCATTTGCGACATACGCAATCGTAATTATTTATTTGGCCAACGAACCAGCCAACCATTCCACAGCACATGCCACACGAAATCAGCATATCATCGTGGTGGAGCCACACGTCACCAATGGAGCTATCCGTCACAATTGTTCATATGTTGCTAAATACTAGAAGTATGACGCGGTTGTTGGTGATAGAGAAAGTTGATGCGGTCATGTTTGGTAATCAGTGGTAGTCGATGGCGGCTGCATCAGCTACCCTGGCGACAAGTGGTCGCCCCATTCAGTCGACAACTCCATGCTGGATTATGTTTTGACAGTGAGTGTCCTACTTTCGCTTTGACCAATCAATGAATTATCCACTTCATACCATACGAATGACCTGGAATCAGGCAGAATTCAGAAAACGATGTTTTGATTGGCTCCACCCCATTCAAAGTTTTTCTCCGAACAGGTGCTCTTTTTTTGTTGGCACTGTGAATTTATATTTCTTTTCGTGAATTTATCGAACTTAGCCGGACACTTTTTTGTTCACCGTGTTCAGACGTCGTCGGCACACGAACCGTCGGGCCATCACGTGACTACCGATAGCTTGCCATGTATCTATAGGTCACGGCAAGCCATGATAGAGTACGCTCAGATTGCATATAAAAGCAAACGATGGAAATTCTGTTGACAACTTTATGCATAATTTCGCTTTATTCGACATACAAACGCAGATGCTTGGCTGATAAGTAGTTATATCCTGTTCATTGTACGAGCGAAGTTATGCATCAGTTGTCGACATCATTTCCAGCGCTTGCTTCTATATACAATCTGAGCGTACTCTATCATGGCTTGTCGTGACCTATACCGGTAGATGCATGGCAAACTAAATGGTTCGGTCCAGCTCGCCGTATTAGTCACATGGTGGCCCGGCATTCGAGGCCACGTAGTGCTGGTGATGTTCTGTCGACGGAGTCTGAACACGGTGGACGTTTTGCCCAGCTAACTGTAAGTTCGATAAGTTCACAAAAAGAATATGAATTCGCAGTGCCGTGTTAGTAAAGCTAGGAAGTAACGTTAGTATCATTTATTGAAAATACTCACTGACATAGGAGTCTGCTGTTCCAAGTACTGTAAAACTTGGAAAGGTGTGGAGCCAATCAAAACGTCGTTTTCTGAATTCTACCTCATTCCAGGTCATTCAGATGGTATGAGGGTGGATAATTCATTACTTCGAAGTAATTGGTCAAAGAGAAGTATGGCAACACAAAACATAACCCAGCATGGAGTTGTCGAGTCAATGGGGCGACCACTTGTCGTCAGGGTAGCTGACACAGCAGCCATTGAAAATCCCAGATTACTGTACCAAACATGACCGTATCAACTTTTTTTATCACAACAACCGCATCGTACTTCTAGTATTTAGCAACATATGGGCGATTGTGATGGATAGCTCCATTGATGACATGTGGCTCCACCACGATGCAATGCTGATTTTGTTTGGCATGTGCTGTGGAATGGTCGGCTGTTTAGTTGGCCAAATAAATAAATATGACTGCGTATGTCGCAAATGCGAACGCGATCAAAATATTTTGCCACCTCGTTAGAGCCTGTTCCGAGCCTCTTTGCGTGTCTATCCTTGCGATGTACTATGTCGACTGTTTTCAATTGTCGTACACTCACTGAAGTCATGTCCATGTCAAAGTTCGTACATCCATCGCCGGGTTGCGCGGGTCGTCTTCGGGGATGCCCTGCTTGATGTTGTCCACGAGATCGGCGCCGACGTCGGTGGCCACGAACAACGCGCCACAAACCCGTACCCGACCATAACGTTAAGCATGGGGATTGCCGTGGAACTCACGTCGGGCGTGAATGCGGCATGCAGCAACACTCAACACGTATAGAATGCTAACGCCCTCCACGAACTACCTGGTGTCGAGGGCGGCGGAAAACGCGCCACCGCGGAAGCAGATGAGCAGCGCCTCCCCGTACGATGCTCCTCCACCAAGGACTGCCTTCGTTGGTCATCAGTGTACATTGAATGGGAATTATTATAAAGATTGCATTCTGTACTGCATTTGACTATATTTAGCAGTACTTTTGAATATAATATTTTTGATTAGATTACTGGAAGGTGATATTTACATCAAAAGGGCAAAATAGTCCTATCTTAGGACTTTTCGGGACTGATCTTATGTTTTGGACCTGTTTAGAGCCTGTTCGGGAAAAAATACCGAGACGAAAAACCATGATGGAACGCAATCTGATTGGTGGATTGAAACTGTAATTACCGAGACGCAACCGGAATCCGGATGTGTCTTGGTTGAATTTCGTCTGGATTTTGCGATATCGAAAAGAGACTCCCCGTGTCGATTTGTGGGCAGCATGGACCAACCACGACGCATGCGGATTCCGGATACAAGGCACTGACAATTGAATTGACGGGATGAGTCGAAAAGCGAGTCAACGCGGAGATGAACCTGTGGTGGGCCACCTTGGGACCCCAGAAAGTAGAGCACAACAGCCACCTTTATTTCGTATGAGTGGGATTTGGTGTAATTGTCGAGACTGCATTGCGCCATTTCCACCTGCAGTACTCACATAGGTCGACAAAGGACTCTTGATTACAACGTGAATTGTCCATAAATCATCGGTAGTACACTGGATCGACTAAACATACTTGGAAATCAATATCTGTCACGGTCAGCAAATTGTACTTCTGCGTGCGGGTCACAGATGACATAGCCATGCACACAGCTAACGCAACAATGCTTCCAGCCAAAGCAGCATAAATGTCTCGCCGGCCACATGGACCCCCTTCAGAACGGCTGCCACACACAACAGTGCCATAATGTAAACCGCCACACACACCACCCGGAGAACAGCCTCACAGGCCACCAAGAGGACATCCACACACACCACTCAGAGAACAGCAACACACACCACCAGAAGGACAGCCACACATCACCCGAAGGACAGGCACGAGCTGGTGTAGCACTGCGGGAGGAAGCGTGTGTAGTTGAGGGCAAAATGCACAATGAATTAACTGATGATCTACAAAGATCTCCTTAATCCTCATCACTATGAATTCTTCTTAGTCTACTTCACTACTTCTACACTAATATGCACTTTTGTTTACAATGGATGCGGGTGCAGTTGAGACATTGGGGAACTTCACTAGGCTAGCGATTCTAAGCCATACTTGCCCTTGAGACACATTCCCAGGCAAGCATTAGCTAGGGTTCGTCATGAGCCAGGTACTTAGGAGC